TTGAAACTAAATGTTTAGTTTGGGTTGGCGGTAGGGATGGGCGATATCTTACGGTTTGCGATATATCGTTAAATTCTCCTAACGATAATAACGATAAGTCTAGTTGATGACGTAGTTTTGTGTGCGCGCGCGCGATTCACTGTTCACGTGCGGACATTCTCTGTGCGGAGTGAAAACAAGCATGGCGGACGTGAGGCTGAGGAGGAGCTGTTGTTAAGCGAGGAGCTAGCTCCACAATTTGGAACTGGTTGGTTACAGAAAATCAGATGAGGAGCAAACTACCGTAATGCAAAGTTTGCAGAAAAACGGTGGTTTACAAAGAGTGGAAACACGTCCAATTTGTTCCCATCTGAAACACAAACCAGAGTATGGTCTGAATGTCTGAAGATACGCGAGGCAACGGAGGCGAAAACTACAAGTGGACCTAGAGGTAAGAAATTACCACCCAGACCAAAATTGCCAGCGCATTTGCTAGTTGCGTCCCTTATGATAAGCAAAGTAAACGATGGAGCGAATTGACGGAAGCAGTGGCGTTTTGTTTGACAAAAGACATGTTGCCATTCCAAACTGTCGAAAAAGAAGGATTCAAGCGAATGATCCATAAACTGGACCCAAGATACAACATGCCCTCAAGGAAGTACTTTTCCAAAACAGCCCTGCCAGCGATGTATGAATAGGGTACAAACGTCACTGTCTACGGCGGATTTTTATGCTTCAACTGCAGACATGTGGAGTAGCAGAGCGACCGAGCCGTACATTAGCCTTACGGTCCACTACATAACGAGCGACTGGAGTCTGAACAGCTGTTGCATCCAGACAAGTTTTTTCCCAGATGACCACACGGGTGAAAACATCGCGAGTGGCTTGAAGCAGTTTCTTCAAGAATGGAATTTAGATGAGGAGAAACAGGTGTGCCTAACAACGGACAGCGGGGCCAATATAGTAAAAGCAGCCACTCTAAACACGTGGAGTCTTGCTTTGGCCATTGTCTACACATTGCTATTGGTAAGTTTACTCTTTTTCTCTTAGTGTCAGTATATTTAATGCATGCACACTGAGCAAACATGAGCTTAATATATTAACTGTATTTATGTATTTGTTTCTGGATTAGTAACGTGACTGACTATGCAGTATTTTGAACAGCAATTCATTACATTAGCTAATGTTTATATTATGTGCATTTAATATTAAATGTTTATTTATTTAAATGATTTTTTAGTTTCATCTATTTTAATTTTAACTTCACTTTAACTTTTTTTATTGTATTTATTTTATTCTTGTGCAAAAGAAACATAAATAAATGCATAAAAATAAATAGTTTTGTTGTTGTTTTGCAGAGAGAAGCATGCGGGATACCAGGATTGACAGAGCTGTGGGAGTCTGTAAGAAGATTGTCGGTGTTTTTTCACACAGCTGGAAAGAGCAGCGAACACTCAAAGATGCTCAAGTAGAACTTGGCCTTCCCACACAAACTTGTGACTGAATCGGCAACACGATGGGGATCAAGGCAGAAGATGATCGGCCGGATACCTGAGCAAGAGAAGGCCATTACGCAAGTCCTGGCTGCTGACAGGTCAACCAGGCATCTGGTGCCTACTTGGCAGGATATTGATGTCCTAGACTCTGTCAGTAAAGCACTTGGGCCTCTTCTTGATTTTACAGATGCCCTCTCTTCTGAAAACTATGTCACAGAGTCATGCTTGAAGCCTACTCTTCACCTATTCAACAGTGAGCTGCTGCAGGGGAAAGATGAAGACACAGATCTCACCAGGACAATTAAAAGTTCAATATTGGACTACATGAACACCAAATATGGTGACCAAGAGGTTCAGGAACTGATCAACATGGCAACAATTCTTGATCCACGCTTCCGCACTCAGTATATGAGTCAAGAAGAGATCCTGGTCATCAAAGCCAGAGTAGTCAGAGAGGTGGAATCCCTTTCTGTCATGCCAAGTGATGCTGGCTCTTCTACCCCTGTAACGTCATCAAGCAACAAAAGAAGCTCAGAGTGCATCTAAAAGGCAGAAGAAGAGTCTTGGAAGTTTTTTTTTCACCCTTTCTGAAACAGAGAAAATTGAGGCTGAATTAAACAACTACCTGCATGGGCCACTTGCAGATGGTGAAAGCAATCATCTTACGTGGTGGAAGGTACATGAGGTGAATTTCCCTAACATCAGTCGTTTGGTGAAAAAGTACTTGTGCATCCCCGCCACTAGTACACCCTCAGAGAGGGTGTTCAGCTCTGCTGGAAATATAGTGACATGCCCAAGGTCTCTTCTGAAACCAGCTGCAGTGAATATGTTAAGGCGTGAGCCCTGTTCTCTTTTTGAAAGCTACTGAATCACACTAGTATGTGTGTTATGCAACTTGCACTACCAGACATGTTCATGTCAGCCTCATTTCTATATTTTGCAAGAGTATATCAGTGTTTACAGTTTAATTAAACTTTTATTTAAATTTAATTTATTGATTTGTTTTTTGATTTATCATCTTGTTTTGCACTATTTTGTAAACTATCTGAAGACATAGTTGGGATCATTACTTTTTGATACATGCAGTGTTTGCACTATTTTTACAATTTGTTCCATGGGACAAGAGTGTTGATAATTTAACTACCTAACTGGTGTTAGCATGTTCCACTTATGTATTATATTTACATTCTAAGAGTGTGTTTCACTCTGAACTTCTTTACTTTATCAGGATTTATTTGCAGTTGTACTCTGTTGTAATTTTGAAACACAACTGAAGACATGGTTGGTGATTGTTACTTTTGCTGTTTGCTTTGCACCATTTTTCCACCATGAGAATATAAATAAATAAAGAATCTGTGTTTACATTTTAAACTTGTAATTGATTTGAATTATTATTATTGTTTAATTGTTGTTGTGTGATGTTTTTCAGCACAGTCACTGGAACACAACTTTAACATAACATAATCTGATATTTTACAGAAGAAAATAATTTATCGTCATTTGTATCGTTATCGCAATAAATTCCTGAAATTATCGTGATAAATTTTTTAGGCCATATCGCCCATCCCTAGTTGGCGGGTTGCATTTATTCGAGATCTCGCTTTGTGTGTGAAACCAAGTTTCCTCTGTGATAAAGCTCATAGTTCTGTTGGGTCAGAGTCACGAGCTCGGGGTCAGTACGAGGACTGCGGTTCTGACCTGGATGAAGAGCCAGGAGGTGACCAGCGCCAGGCTGCTGTACTGGCCGTTGAAGCGGTAGTGATAAGCGTAGAAGGCGAAGTGGTACAGATAGAAGAACCTGAAACACAGAAACAGATCCACGTTCAAACACACAAACCCAAACCAACACAGTAACTACGTGACTGATTCATAGATTTATAATTAGTTAATAACTTGTTATGAAATTAATTGTCGTTGCCCCAAAGAAATAAAAATGCAGAGAGATTTTTCTTTAGCTCAGTGAGGACATTAAAAGGTTCCTGCAGAAATGAAGGATCTTTGATTCAGGATTGGTCCAGCAGTGTTTCTGTGGGCGCAACAGTTTTAAAATCATTTAGCCGACGCTTTTATCCAAAGCGACTTACGGCTGCTCTACATGTCAGAGGTCGCACGCCTCTGGAGCAACGAGGGGTTAAATGTCTTGCTCAGGGACACACTGGTGGACGGGTCACAGTGGGGATTGAACCCGGGTCTCTCACATCAAAGGCATGTGTCTTATCCACTGCTCCATCGCCACCCCATGGTTGTTGGTCATGTGACTCACCTCAGCCAGTGGCGTTTGCTGGTGTTGGTGTGGCAGCAGATGGCATCGTACTGATCGGCCAACCAGACGATGAGGATGATGTAGAAGGCCGTCGTCGTGTCGTTGAAGAACTCCGACATAATGGCCTCCATACCTGATGACAACAGGAAGTGACATCAGCAGGTCAGGTCTGGACTCTTTTAGCCGCTTTGATGAAAAGCCGCTCAGCCGGCTGTTCCAGATTTTAACGGCGAGACGGAAAGTTTCAGTGTTTCCTCAGGAGTTTGCCAGACTGTGGACTCCTCGGGTCAGAAGCATCACTTACCGCCTCTCTGGACCCTGAGGCTAAATGAGTCTGACATGGATCAGAGTCTAGGTTTAGACCCGTATCCAGGATGTGAACTTACCGACGAGGGCCAGGATGACGGTGAGCAGAGGGGCTGCTGGGAAGGCGATGGTCATGTTCATCTCTAGCATCTGGAGAAGATCAACTGAGGGGGGACAGAATGAGACCAGATCAACACACAGCTGATCCTCCAGGTCTGAGAGGTTGAGTGTCTAAAACTAAAAAAACCAACAGAGTCTTCAGTAGGAAGAAACTAGAACCCAGAGTGGAGGAACAAATCCTGATGGATCTGCCAGACCCTGTTCTTCATGTACAGTCCCCCCCAACAGTCTCGGAACGGTGAGGCAGATTCCTTTGTTTTTGTTGTTCACTGAAGACATTAAGACCAAAAGATGAGTTTGAGACCAGAGTTCAGAATCTCAGCTCTCAGTTCCTGGTATTCACGTCTAGATGTGTTAAACAGCTCAGGACAAACCACTGTTTGTTTGAACCCACCCATTTTACAAGTGAGCAAAACTATTGGAACATGTGACAGATGTTTGTTGTTGCCCAGATGTTGCCTTTTAGGTTGATTGTCCAAACATTAACTAGCTCTGCATGACTAGTCTAAGTTTTCATCCTTGGTTCAAACCTATAAAGACTACATTTCCTGTTAAAGAGGATAAACCAACATGAAGACCAGAGAGCTGTCTGTGGGAGAAGAACAAGCCACTGTCAAGCTGAGAAAAGAAGGAAAATCGAGCAGAGCCATTGGACAAACATTGGGCAGAGCAAGCACAACAATGTGGAACGTCCTGAAAAAGAAACTACTGGTGTACTGAGCAACAGACGTCCAACAGGTCGACCAAGGAAAACTACAGTAGCTTCATTGGCATTAAAGGAACCGCTCTAAGCTGGTTTAAGTCCTTTTTATCAGATCGATTTCAGTTTGTAGATGTTAACGATGAGTCCTCCATGCACGCCAAAGTTACTCATGGAGTTCCTCAAGGATCTGTCCTCGGACCAATCCTCTTCATTTTATATATGCTTCCTTTAGGCAATATTATCAGGAAATATTCCATAAACTTTCATTGTTTTGCAGATGATACTCAGTTATATCTATCGATCAAACCAGATGAAACTCATCAGTTAGCTAAACTTCAAATGTGCCTTCAGGATGTTAAAACCTGGATGACCTGAAATTTTCTAATGTTAAACTCAGATAAAACTGAAGTTATTGTTCTGGGGCCTAAGCACCTCCGTGACGCATTATCTGACAGGAACCAGGAAAAGAGATCATATTTCTCCTGTTTTAGCTTCTTTGCATTGACTTCCAGTAAAATCCAGAATAGAATTTAAAATCATTCTTCTTACCTACAAAGCTCTTAATGGTCAGGCACCATCTTATCTTAAAGAGCTCATAGTACCTTACTACCCCACCAGAGCACTGCGCTCCCAGAATGCAGGGTTACTTGTGGTTCCTAGAGTCTCCAAAAGCAGACTAGGAGCCAGAGCGTTCAGCTATCAAGCTCCTCTCCTGTGGAACCAGGTTCCAGTTTGGGTTCAGGAGGCAGACACCATCTCCACATTTAAGAGTAGGCTTAAGACTTTCCTCTTTGATAAAGCTTATAGTTAGGGCTGGCTCAGGTGAGTCCTGAACCCTCCCTTAGTTATGCTGCTATAGGCCTAGACTGCCGGGGGATTTCCCATGATGCACTGAGCTCCTCTCTCCTCTACTTTCTCTCCCTCTGTATGCAACCTTATCCCATTATTGCATGTTACTAACACAACTTCTCCCCTTTCTGGTAGTCTTGTGCTTTCTCGTCCCTCTCCTCTCTCCTCCTATCACTTCCTGCAGGTTTTCTGGCTCTGGAGCTGTGGAGTCTGGATCTGTGGTTGCGGGTCACCTGCTGCCCCCGTGTTCCTGCTCGACACCCTCTACTGCAACGACTATTGTTACTAGTCCTATTGTTATTATTGTCATTATAATCATTAACATTACGACTGTTATCATTAACACTACTATAAATATCTGTACCATTTTTCATTTAGTCTATAGCAGAGGTCACTAATAGAAGGACCGCGGTCCGGATCCGGACCCAGCCGCTGTCCTCTCCGGACCGCCGACCTACAGCCGATTTATCATTGAAATTTACTACCTTGTGACGGAGCGTTTCTATTTTAACCCGCGCAGCTTTTCAAGCATTTACTGTACTGGTTTAGCGGACCAGGAAACTCACAGACCAATCGCATGTGCTCCAGTCATCTCATTTGACGCTGCTCAGACAATCAAATCTGTGCATTCCGATGTTTGAGAGTCGAGTCCGCGAGATTCACCAGAGACGTTTTGGAAATACCCACGAATTGAGAAGATGAAAGGGAAAAGAGATTTCACATGGCTTTTAATCAAGAATGTACAGATTCTTACATGTAGACTACATTCCTCCCACGGAAGTTCAAAAACAGAATATCTCATAGATCTCCAATCCTAGCTGGCAGGACAAACTAGAGCTCACGTTTCTCACTGAACAAGAGAAAGTAGGAGTGGTAGCTCTATAAGAGGGAATGAAAGAGAAAAAGATGCGTTACAACTGTTCATTTGTTATGATGTGTTGAGTGTTTATTATAAAATTGGTTAAGACTGCACTTTATCACTTCAAGCTACACTTTTTATTACATTTTTTCAAAAAATTAGGCACTTTATTTTAGTTTACTTAAATTTAGAATTTACTATTAGAGTAGTTATTATTTATTATCCCTCCAGTTTGATGTGAAAACTGACTGAAATATTATTTGATTTGACAGTCCGTTGTTGAATAAAAACATATGTTGATACAACTATACGTTATGGTCGTTTTGATGTCCCGGACCTTTGCTTTGGGAAATTTTCTCTAGCTGGACCTCTTTGAATTCTAATTGAATACCCCTGGTCTATAGCAACATCACCTTTACTGTCTGTACCTCTGTGTGGATATTGTGTAGGCTGCCTCCCACCTAACCCTCCTTCCCACTCCCTCTTTATGACTCTCTCTCTTTCTCTCTCTCTCTCTCTCTCCTTCACCCCAACCGGTCGAGGCAGATGGCCGCCCACCCTGAACCATGGTCCTGCTCGAGGTTTCTGCCTCTTAAAGGAAGTTTTTCCATGCTTCTGTCGCCTAGTGCTGCTCTTGGTGGGAATTGTTGTTATGAAAAGCGCTGTGAGATAACTGTTGTTGTGATTTGATGCTATATAAGTAAAACTGAATTGGACAGAAAGGAAGTGCTTATGATCCGAAGCATTCGAGCTCATCTGTGAAGCCTGGTGGAGGTGATGTCACGGCTGCTTCTGGAACAGGCTCATTAATATTTATTGATGATGTAACTGATGATGATCGCAGCAGACTGAATTCAGAAGCGGAAAGAAACATTTTGTCTGCCAGTTTATGGAGAAATGCTTTAAAACTAATGGGGAGGAAGTTTATCATGCAGCAGGACAACGAGCCAAAGCACACTGCCAACAAAACAAAGGACTTCATCAGGGGAAAAAGTGGAAGTTTTAGACTGGCCAAGTCAATCAGCTGACCTTAACCCAGCATGCATTTCACCTCCTTAAGAGGAGACTGAAGGGAGAAACACCCCGAAACAAACAAGAACTGAAAGAAGCTGCGGTAAAAGCCTGGAATAGCATCACAAATGAAGAATGCAACAGTTTGGTGAGTTTCTGGGTCGCAGGCTTCAGGCAGTTATTGCAAGAGAGGGTTCTGCCACCAAATATTAAAGGGGCCTTTACTTTTGCTCACCTCAGACTGCTGTGGATTAAAACAAAGGGTGGTTTATCCTGAGCTGTTTAACACGTCTAGATGTGACTCCAGGGAAGAAAAGCTGAGATTCTGAACTCGTCTCATCTTTTGATCTTAAACCTAAATGTCTTCAGTGAACAACAAAAACAAAGGAATCTGCCTTCTAGTTCCAAGACTGTTGGAGGAGACTGTATAAATTACACATCTGAGCTAAAACACAAGCACCCTGATCAAGTACCAGACCACATCCTTCACATCCTTAAACTACTCATTTAACTGTGAACTGAAAGGCAGGGATCAAAATTCTCAACCTGGATTGGGCAACTTTAGACATGACTGGATTATATTAATCTGGAATGATGACGTGAACTGGATTACAGGGACCTGGCCTGGCCTGGATTACAGGGACCTGGCCTGGCCTGGCTTACAGGGACCTGGCCTGGCCTGGCTTACAGGGACCTGGCCTGGCCTGGCTTACAGGGACCTGGCCTGGCCTGGATTACAGGGACCTGGCGTGTGTTTGCTCTGGGAGGAAACTGACCGATGAAGACGAAGATCTGGTGGTGAGAGTATCTGAGCAGCATCGACACTGACAGAGTCTGAAAAACACAAAACAAATTAATTTGACTTTGATCCGACCGGCCCTCGCTGATCAGAACCGGTTCAAGTTGTGTTTTTAGTAGCTTTGTAGGTCCATTTAATCTTACAGACCCTGATAGTCTCTGCATAAATAAAGACTACTGTCATTAAACTCTTTCAGGAGCCTCGACAACAAGAACTAACCTGGAAATTCACTTTGACTTCATGTTCTCTGCAGATTTGGATTAAATATGATGAGTAGGACGTGTTCACTCACGAATATGACCATGATGACGAAGGCAGCCAGGTAGGAGGTTCTGGCCATCCACATGCTGACGAAGCGGTAATGTTCTCCAGACACCACGTTCCTCAGGAACCCTGCAGAGAACCACACTGCAACATCACCAACCTGACTCCAGACTGACAAGTACCTGTGACTCAAAACTGTGTTTACTCTGATCTAAACCAAAGACCTGGTTCGGCAGTCAGGGAGGGGGATCGGAGGAACTCGGGGTCTGCAGTCACGGAGGGGGATCGGAGGAACTCGGGGTCTGCAGTCAGGGAGGGGGATCGGAGGAACTCGGGGTCTGCAGTCACGGAGGGGGATCGGAGGAACTCGGGGTCTGCAGTCAGGGAGGGGGATCCCAAGAGCTCGGGGTCTGCAGTCAGGGAGGGGGATCCCAAGAGCTCGGGGTCTGCAGTCAGGGAGGGGGATCAGAGGAACTCGGGGTCTGCAGTCAGGGAGGGGGATCAGAGGAACTCGGGGTCTGCAGTCACGGAGGGGGATCGGAGGAACTCGGGGTCTGCAGTCACGGAGGGGGATCGGAGGAACTCGGGGTCTGCAGTCAGGGAGGGGGATCGGAGGAACTCGGGGTCTGCAGTCAGGGAGGGGGATCGGAGGAACTCGGGGTCTGCAGTCAGGGAGGGGGATCGGAGGAACTCGGGGTCTGCAGTCACGGAGGGGGATCGGAGGAACTCGGGGTCTGCAGTCAGGGAGGGGGATCCCAAGAGCTCGGGGTCTGCAGTCAGGGAGGGGGATCAGAGGAACTCGGGGTCTGCAGTCAGGGAGGGGGATCCCAAGAGCTCGGGGTCTGCAGTCAGGGAGGGGGATCAGAGGAACTCGGGGTCTGCAGTCACGGAGGGGGATCAGAGGAACTCGGGGTCTGCAGTCAGGGAGGGGGATCCCAAGAGCTCGGGGTCTGCAGTCAGGGAGGGGGATCCCAAGAACTCGGGGTCTGCAGTCAGGGAGGGGGATCCCAAGAACTCGGGGTCTGCAGTCAGGGAGGGGGATCCCAAGAACTCGGGGTCTGCAGTCAGGGAGGGGGATCCCAAGAACTCGGGGTCTGCAGTCACGGAGGGGGATCCCAAGAACTCGGGGTCTGCAGTCACGGAGGGGGATCCCAAGAACTCGGGGTCTGCAGTCAGGGAGGGGGATCCCAAGAACTCGGGGTCTGCAGTCACGGAGGGGGATCGGAGGAACTCGGGGTCTGCAGTCACGGAGGGGGATCGGAGGAACTCGGGGTCTGCAGTCAGGGAGGGGGATCCCAAGAGCTCGGGGTCTGCAGTCAGGGAGGGGGATCCCAAGAGCTCGGGGTCTGCAGTCAGGGAGGGGGATCAGAGGAACTCGGGGTCTGCAGTCACGGAGGGGGATCCCAAGAGCTCGGGGTCTGCAGTCAGGGAGGGGGATCCCAAGAACTCGGGGTCTGCAGTCAGGGAGGGGGATCCCAAGAACTCGGGGTCTGCAGTCAGGGAGGGGGATCAGAGGAACTCGGGGTCTGCAGTCAGGGAGGGGGATCGGAGGAACTCGGGGTCTGCAGTCAGGGAGGGGGATCAGAGGAACTCGGGGTCTGCAGTCAGGGAGGGGGATCCCAAGAACTCGGGGTCTGCAGTCACGGAGGGGGATCGGAGGAACTCGGGGTCTGCAGTCACGGAGGGGGATCGGAGGAACTCGGGGTCTGCAGTCACGGAGGGGGATCGGAGGAACTCGGGGTCTGCAGTCACGGAGGGGGATCCCAAGAACTCGGGGTCTGCAGTCAGGGAGGGGGATCCCAAGAACTCGGGGTCTGCAGTCAGGGAGGGGGATCAGAGGAACTCGGGGTCTGCAGTCAGGGAGGGGGATCGGAGGAACTCGGGGTCTGCAGTCAGGGAGGGGGATCAGAGGAACTCGGGGTCTGCAGTCAGGGAGGGGGATCCCAAGAACTCGGGGTCTGCAGTCAGGGAGGGGGATCAGAGGAACTCGGGGTCTGCAGTCAGGGAGGGGGATCCCAAGAACTCGGGGTCTGCAGTCAGGGAGGGGGATCAGAGGAACTCGGGGTCTGCAGTCACGGAGGGGGATCGGAGGAACTCGGGGTCTGCAGTCACGGAGGGGATCGGAGGAACTCGGGGTCTGCAGTCACGGAGGGGGATCGGAGGAACTCGGGGTCTGCAGTCAGGGAGGGGGATCCCAAGAACTCGGGGTCTGCAGTCAGGGAGGGGGATCCCAAGAACTCGGGGTCTGCAGTCAGGGAGGGGGATCGGAGGAACTCGGGGTCTGCAGTCACGGAGGGGGATCGGAGGAACTCGGGGTCTGCAGTCAGGGAGGGGGATCCCAAGAGCTCGGGGTCTGCAGTCAGGGAGGGGGATCAGAGGAACTCGGGGTCTGCGGTCAGGGAGGGGGATCCCAAGAGCTCGGGGTCTGCAGTCAGGGAGGGGGATCCCAAGAACTCGGGGTCTGCAGTCAGGGAGGGGGATCCCAAGAGCTCGGGGTCTGCAGTCAGGGAGGGGGATCAGAGGAACTCGGGGTCTGCAGTCACGGAGGGGGATCAGAGGAACTCGGGGTCTGCAGTCAGGGAGGGGGATCGGAGGAACTCGGGGTCTGCAGTCAGGGAGGGGGATCCCAAGAGCTCGGGGTCTGCAGTCAGGGAGGGGGATCAGAGGAACTCGGGGTCTGCAGTCACGGAGGGGGATCGGAGGAACTCGGGGTCTGCAGTCACGGAGGGGGATCGGAGGAACTCGGGGTCTGCAGTCAGGGAGGGGGATCCCAAGAGCTCGGGGTCTGCAGTCAGGGAGGGGGATCCCAAGAGCTCGGGGTCTGCAGTCAGGGAGGGGGATCCCAAGAACTCGGGGTCTGCGGTCAGGGAGGGGGATCCCAAGAACTCGGGGTCTGCAGTCAGGGAGGGGGATCCCAAGAACTCGGGGTCTGCAGTCACGGAGGGGGATCCCAAGAGCTCGGGGTCTGCAGTCAGGGAGGGGGATCCCAAGAGCTCGGGGTCTGCAGTCAGGGAGGGGGATCAGAGGAACTCGGGGTCTGCAGTCACGGAGGGGGATCAGAGGAACTCGGGGTCTGCAGTCAGGGAGGGGGATCGGAGGAACTCGGGGTCTGCAGTCAGGGAGGGGGATCCCAAGAGCTCGGGGTCTGCAGTCAGGGAGGGGGATCAGAGGAACTCGGGGTCTGCAGTCACGGAGGGGGATCGGAGGAACTCGGGGTCTGCAGTCACGGAGGGGGATCGGAGGAACTCGGGGTCTGCAGTCAGGGAGGGGGATCCCAAGAGCTCGGGGTCTGCAGTCAGGGAGGGGGATCAGAGGAACTCGGGGTCTGCAGTCAGGGAGGGGGATCCCAAGAGCTCGGGGTCTGCAGTCAGGGAGGGGGATCCCAAGAACTCGGGGTCTGCAGTCAGGGAGGGGGATCCCAAGAGCTCGGGGTCTGCAGTCAGGGAGGGGGATCAGAGGAACTCGGGGTCTGCAGTCAGGGAGGGGGATCAGAGGAACTCGGGGTCTGCAGTCAGGGAGGGGGATCCCAAGAGCTCGGGGTCTGCAGTCAGGGAGGGGGATCCCAAGAGCTCGGGGTCTGCAGTCAGGGAGGGGGATCCCAAGAACTCGGGGTCTGCAGTCAGGGAGGGGGATCAGAGGAACTCGGGGTCTGCAGTCAGGGAGGGGGATCAGAGGAACTCGGGGTCTGCGGTCAGGGAGGGGGATCAGAGGAACTCGGGGTCTGCAGTCAGGGAGGGGGATCCCAAGAACTCGGGGTCTGCAGTCAGGGAGGGGGATCAGAGGAACTCGGGGTCTGCGGTCAGGGAGGGGGATCCCAAGAACTCGGGGTCTGCGGTCAGGGAGGGGGATCCCAAGAGCTCGGGGTCTGCAGTCAGGGAGGGGGATCCCAAGAGCTCGGGGTCTGCAGTCAGGGAGGGGGATCCCAAGAACTCGGGGTCTGCAGTCAGGGAGGGGGATCCCAAGAACTCGGGGTCTGCAGTCAGGGAGGGGGATCAGAGGAACTCGGGGTCTGCAGTCAGGGAGGGGGATCAGAGGAACTTGGGGTCTGCGGTCAGAATAGTGGACTAGAGGACCCATCCCGGTTCTCTACCTTTGTTCTCCTCGTTCTCGGCGAGCGCCTTCACGCTGGACATGAGGATGTCGTCGTAGCCCAAAAACTCATCGAGCAGGAAGCGACTGAAGCCGTCACCAAAACACTCGTCCTTCATGGGATCTAAACACGGAGACGTCATGTAACAGAGGCAGACAGGTGTGTCAGGGTCATGTGACTGAGGTCAGGTGTGTCTCACCTAGAGTGACCACCATGACGGGGATGTTGAGTCTCTGCCTGGTGCTCTGAGACAAACGCAGGAAGCCGTACTCCAGCGAGTACTCCACGATGTACTCCTCCTGAGGCCACACTGCAACAACAACACACACCTTAACAGAGTCCACACAGGAGGCGCGGCACGCTCGCGGCACGCTCGGTCACATGTGTTTTGGCAGCGTTTTGGGCTGCGGTTAAAGGCGAATGTCGTGAACCACAACGACTAAAACGCTTCCTGTGACGAAACAGCAGAGTAAAAATTAAAATCTGACACCAAGAAGCAAAAAACAAGCCAGAACACAGAACCATGAGTACTCTGGTGTAAGTACTACTTCAACACGCCTACTGGGTTTCAAATACTATTACTTTAAACAAACTTCAACATGTCATCAACTCCACTAACTATCTACAGCGGAGGAGCAGTTAGAGGTGACGGAGACTCTGCTGCCACCTGCTGGTGTCAGAGAGAATCTCAGCTCAGGAGGAGGAGGTGAGAGAGGGAGAGGAAGAGGAGAGAGGAGAGGGGCAACTAGCAGGAGGAAGAGGAGGAGAAAGGAGGAGGAGGTGAGAGAGGGAGAAGAGAGAGGAGAGGGGCAACTAGCAGGAGGAAGAGGAGGAGAAAGGAGGAGGAGGGTTTACCTGCTCGGGTCATCATCTCCAGCTCAGACAGAGAGTCCTTCAGCGGCTGCATACCTTTAGTGGTCTGGCTGAAGGAGACGTCCTGGCTGTCGTTCACTCCTCCTGCTCCTCCTCCTCCTCCACCTCCTCCAATCAGAGACGGCTTCAGACGCGGCTCGATGTCCAGCTCAAACTGCAACAGAGACAGAAACAGAGCAGGGAGGTGAAAACAGGAGCGGGGAGCTAGAAGCTAGGAACGAGGAGAAAGGAGCGAGGAGAAAGGAGCTAGGAGAAAGGAACGAGGAGAAAGGAGCTAGGAGAAAGGAGCTAGGAGAAAGGAACGAGGAGAAAGGAGCGAGGAGATAAGAGCTAGGAGAAAGGAGCGAGGAGAAAGGAGCGAGGAGAAAGGAGCTAGGAGAAAGGAGCTAGGAGAAAGGAGCTAGGAGAAAGGAGCGAGGAGAAAGGAGCGAGGAGAAAGGAGCGAGGAGAAAGGAGCTAGGAGCTAGGAGCTAGGAGCGAGGAGAAAGGAGCGAGAAGAAAGGAGCGAGGAGAAAGGAGCGAGGTGCTAGGAGAAAGGTGCTAGGAGAAAGGTGCTAGGAGAAAGGAGCGAGGAGCTAGGAGCTAGGAGAAAGGAGCGAGGAGCGAGGAGCGAGGAGAAAGGAGCTAGGAGCGAGGTGCTAGGAGAAAGGTGCTAGGAGAAAGGAGCGAGGAGCTAGGAGCTAGGAGAAAGGAGCGAGGAGCGAGGAGCGAGGAGAAAGGAGCTAGGAGCGAGGAGAAAGGAGCTAGGAGGGAGAAAGGAGCTAGGAGAAAGGACCGAGGAGAAAAGAGCGAGGAGAAAGGAGAAAAGAGCGAGGAGCTAGGAGCTAGGAGCTAGGAGAAAGGAGCGAGGAGAAAAGAGCGAGGAGAAAAGAGCGAGGAGCTAGGAGAAAGGAGAAAAGAGCTAGGAGAAAGGAGCGAGGAGAAAGGAGAAAGGAGAAAAGAGCGAGGAGCTAGGAGAAAAGAGCGAGGAGCTAGGAGAAAGGAGAAAGGAGCTAGGAGAAAGGAGCTAGGAGAAAAGAGCTAGGAGAAAAGAGCTAGGAGAAAAGAGCTAGGAGAAAAGAGCTAGGAGAAAAGAGCTAGGAGAAAAGAGCGAGGAGCTAGGAGAAAAGAGCGAGGAGCTAGGAGAAAGGAAAAAGGAGAAAGGAGCTAGGAGAAAGGAGCTAGGAGAAAAGAGCTAGGAGAAAAGAGCTAGGAGAAAAGAGCTAGGAGAAAAGAGCGAGGAGCTAGGAGAAAGGAGAAAGGAGAAAGGAGCTAGGAGAAAGGAGCTAGGAGAAAGGAGCTAGGAGAAAGGAGCTAGGAGAAAGGAGCTAGGAGAAAAGAGCTAGGAGAAAAGAGCGAGGAGAAAAGAGCGAGGAGCTAGGAGAAAGGAGAAAGGAGCTAGGAGAAAGGAGCGAGGAGGGAGAAAGGAGCTAGGAGGGAGAAAGGAGCTAGGAGGGAGAAAGGAGCTAGGAGAAAGGACCGAGGAGAAAAGAGCGAGGAGAAAAGAGCAAGGAGAAAAGAGCGAGGAGAAAGGAGCTAGGAGAAAGGAGAAAAGAGCTAGGAGAAAAGAGCGAGGAGAAAAGAGCGAGGAGCTAGGAGAAAGGAGAAAGGAGAAAGGAGCTAGGAGAAAGGAGCTAGGAGAAAGGAGCGAGGAGGGAGAAAGGAGCTAGGAGGGAGAAAGGAGCTAGGAGGGAGAAAGGAGCTAGGAGGGAGAAAGGAGCTAGGAGGGAGAAAGGAGCTAGGAGAAAGGACCGAGGAGAAAAGAGCGAGGAGAAAGGAGAAAAGAGCGAGGAGCTAGGAGAAAGGAGAAAGGAGCGAGGAGAAAAGAGCGAGGAGAAAAGAGCGAGGAGCTAGGAGCGAGGAGCTAGGAGAAAGGAGCTAGGAGAAAGGAGCTAGGAGAAAGGAGCTAGGAGAAAGGAGCTAGGAGAAAGGAGCTAGGAGCTAGGAGAAAGGAGAAAAGAGCGAGGAGCTAGGAGAAAGGAGCTAGGAGCTAGGAGAAAGGAGCTAGGAGAAAGGAGCTAGGAGAAAGGAGCTAGGAGAAAGGAGAAAGGAGAAAGGAGCGAGGAGCGAGGAGAAAGGAGCGAGGAGCTAGGAGAAAGGAGAAAGGAGCTAGGAGAAAGGAGCTAGGAGAAAGGAGCTAGGAGAAAGGAGAAAGGAGCGAGGAGAAAGGAGCGAGGAGAAAGGAGCGAGGAGAAAGGAGCGAGGAGAAAGGAGCGAGGAGAAAAGAGCGAGGAGCTAGGAGAAAGGAGCGAGGAGAAAGGAGCTAGGAGAAAGGAGCTAGGAGAAAGGAGCTAGGAGAAAGGAGCTAGGAGAAAGGAGCTAGGAGAAAGGAGCTAGGAGCTAGGAGAAAGGAGAAAAGAGCGAGGAGCTAGGAGAAAGGAGAAAAGAGCGAGGAGCTAGGAGAAAGGAGAAAGGAGCGAGGAGCTAGGAGAAAGGAGCGAGGAGAAAGGAGCGAGGAGCTAGGAGAAAGGAGAAAAGAGCGAGGAGCTAGGAGAAAGGAGCTAGGAGAAAGGAGCGAGGAGAAAGGAGCGAGGAGAAAGGAGCGAGGAGAAAAGAGCTAGGAGAAAAGAGCTAGGAGAAAAGAGCTAGGAGAAAGGAGCGAGGAGAAAGGAGCGAGGAGAAAGGAGCGAGGAGAAAGGAGCGAGGAGCTAGGAGAAAGGAGAAAGGAGCGAGGAGAAAAGAGAAAGGAGCGAGGAGCGAGGAGCGAGGAGCGAGGAGAAAGGAGCGAGGAGAAAGGAGCGAGGAGAAAGGAGCGAGGAGAAAGGAGAAAAGAGCGAGGAGCTAGGAGAAAGGAGCTAGGAGCTAGGAGAAATGAGCTAGGAGAAATGAGCTAGGAGAAAGGAGCTAGGAGAAAGGAGCTAGGAGAAAGGAGAAAGGAGCTAGGAGAAAGGAGCTAGGAGAAAAGAGCTAGGAGAAAAGAGCTAGGAGAAAAGAGCTAGGAGAAAAGAGCTAGGAGCTAGGAGAAAGGAGAAAGGAGAAAGGAGCTAGGAGAAAGGAGCTAGGAGAAAGGAGCTAGGAGAAAGGAGCGAGGAGAAAGGAGAAAGGAGCTAGGAGCTAGGAGAAAGGAGCTAGGAGAAAGGAGAAAGGAGCTAGGAGAAAGGAGAAAGGAGCTAGGAGAAAGGAGCTAGGAGAAAGGAGCTAGGAGAAAGGAGCTAGGAGAAAGGAGCTAGGAGAAAGGAGCTAGGAGAAAGGAGAAAGGAGCTAGGAGAAAGGAGCTAGGAGAAAGGAGCTAGGAGAAAGGAGCGAGGAGAAAGGAGAAAGGAGCTAGGAGCTAGGAGAAAGGAGCTAGGAGAAAGGAGAAAGGAGCTAGGAGAAAGGAGCTAGGAGAAAGGAGCTAGGAGAAAGGAGCTAGGAGAAAGGAGCTAGGAGAAAGGAGCTAGGAGAAAGGAGCTAGGAGAAAGGAGCTAGGAGAAAGGAGAAAGGAGCTAGGAGAAAGGAGAAAGGAGCTAGGAGAAAGGAGCTAGGAGAAAGGAGCTAGGAGAAAGGAGCTAGGAGAAAGGAGCTAGGAGCGAGTTAACTACACTAACATTGTCACGTCACCATTCACAGGTTAACAACGTAGCCAAATGATTTATATTGAAATGTTGTGTTTGTGAATGTAACATTTCATATGGGCTTTTCTTTACAATGAATATCAAGTTCCTCTGATCCTCCTCCCTGACTGCAATTTTTCATAAATATATGAAGTCACGTTCGACACAAACACAAACACAAAATGAAATGATGACAAATGCTTTCAGTTTCGTTATTGCAAAAAAAGAGACTTTTCGTCAGCGGTTACGTCAGATCCTACTTATGCTGGGGAGAGAGGAGAGTTTGTCCGAAAGTGGTCGCTGTATTTAAACCCTACGCGGAGCAGGGAGGCCTGGAGGGTGACTGGACCACAGTTCACTCCGTGTCGGAGTGGAAGTGGCGAGGGTCTAGTTTCGGAAAGGCCCCTGGTTTCTGTGGAGAACTGAACCTCACCGCTCACCTGCACCGAGCTGTTGTCAAACATCTCCAGGGTCATCTCCTCCTCGTCCTCCTCTTCCTCCTGCAGCGCTGCCAGACCGAGCCCGCCCGCTCCTCCTCCTCCGCCCCCCTCGGCCTCCAGCTCCTCCTGGAGGCCCGTGGAGTCGTAGTACTGCAGGAAAACGGAGGCTCGGCTGGAGTTCCTCTGGATCTCCACCCGCAGGATGCCGTCACGGGGCCAGCGCTCCCTCACTACCTCCAGACAGTTGATGGGCGAGCGAGAGAAGGCGATGTGGATGTAGGCGAGGATGAAGAGGACGAAGAGCGCCTGAGCAGAGAGAAGGAGCAGAGGAATTAGTCCAACGTTTCAACATGAAATTTGAGAAGTTTATTCACCACAAAGTTATAACAAAAGGTTCATACTGTTTATGGCGTGCGGAATTCGCATAGCCGGTGGCGGGTCGGCCATCACACACCGGCTTCATTCACAGGGCTCAACAATAAGAGTGTTTACTCCTCTGACACCCTGCGTCCTCCTTCTGATTCTATCACCATTTATAAACATTAAATAGAACGCGACTGGGAGGTCTACATTATGACTGGGGGGGGGGGGGGTCCACATTATGACTGGGGGGTCCACATTCTGACTGGGGGGGGGGGGGTCCACATTATGACTGGGGGGGGGGTCCACATTATGACTGGGGGGTCCACATTCTGACTGGGGGGGGGGGGGGTCCACATTCTGACTGGGGGTCCACATTCTGACTGGGGGGTCCACATTCTGACTGGGGGGGGGGGTCCACATTATGACTGGGAGGTCCACATTATGACTGGGGGGTCCACATTCTGACTGGGGGGGGGGGGGTCACATTATGACTGGGAGGTCCACATTATGACTGGGGGGTCCACATTCTGACTGGGGGGGGGGGGTCCACATTATGACTGGGGGGTCCACATTCTGACTGGGGGGTCCACATTCTGACTGGGGGTCCACATTCTGACTGGGGGGTCCACATTCTGACTGGGGGGTCCACATTCTGACTGGGGGTCCACATTCTGACTGGGGGGTCCACATTCTGACTGGGGGGGGGGGGTCCACATTATGACTGGGAGGTCCACATTATGACTGGGGGGTCCACATTCTGACTGGGGGGGGGGGGGTCCACATTATGACTGGGGGGTCCACATTCTGACTGGGGGGTCCACATTCTGACTGGGGGGGGGGGGTCCACATTGATGGGGGGGTCCACATTATGACTGGGGGGGGGGGGTCCACATTATGACTGGGGGGGTCCACATTAGGACTCGGGGGGGTCCGCCCTGAGGCTCGGCGGTCTACATTATGACTCGGGCGTCCGCCCTGAGGCTCGGCGGTCTACATTATGACTCGGCGGTCTACATTATGACTCGGCGGTCTACATTATGACTCGGGCGTCCGCCCTGAGACTCGGCGGTCTACATTATGACTCGGGCGTCCGCCCTGAGACTCGGCGGTCTACATTATGACTCGGCGGTCTACATTATGACTCGGGCGTCCGCCCTGAGACTCGGCGGTCTACATTATGACTCGGCGGTCTACATTATGACTCGGGCGTCCGCCCTGAGACTCGGCGGTCTACATTATGACTCGGCGGTCTACATTATGACTCGGCGTCCGCCCTGAGACTCGGCGGTCTACATTATGACTCGGCGGTCTACATTATGACTCGGGCGTCCGCCCTGAGACTCGGCGGTCTACATTATGACTCGGCGGTCTACATTATGACTCGGGCGTCCGCCCTGAGACTCGGCGGTCTACATTATGACTCGGCGGTCTACATTATGACTCGGCGGTCTACATTATGACTCGGGCGTCCGCCCTGAGGCTCGGCGGTCTACATTATGACTCGGCGGTCTACATTATGACTCGGCGGTCTACATTATGACTCGGCGGTCTACATTATGACTCGGGCGTCCGCCCTGAGACTCGGCGGTCTACATTATGACTCGGCGGTCTACATTATGACTCGGCGGTCTACATTATGACTCGGGCGTCCGCCCTGAGGCTCGGCGGTCTACATTATGACTCGGCGGTCTACATTATGACTCGGCGGTCTACATTATGACTCGGCGGTCTACATTATGACTCGGCGGTCTACATTATGACTCGGGCGTCCGCCCTGAGGCTCGGCGGTCTACATTATGACTCGGCGGTCTACATTATGACTCGGCGGTCTACATTATGACTCGGGCGTCCGCCCTGAGACTCGGCGGACTACATTACGACTCGGGCGTCCGCCCTGAGACTCGGCGGTCTACATTATGACTCGGGCGTCCGCCCTGAGACTCGGCGGTCTACATTATGACTCGGCGGTCTACATTATGACTCGGGCGTCCGCCCTGAGACTCGGCGGTCTACATTATGACTCGGCGGTCTACATTATGACTCGGGCGTCCGCCCTGAGACTCGGCGGTCTACATTATGACTCGGCGGTCTACATTATGACTCGGCGGTCTACATTAAGACTCGGGCGTCCGCCCTGAGACTCGGCGGTCTACATTATGACTCGGCGGTCTACATTATGACTCGGCGGTCTACATTATGACTTGGGGGGCAGGTTTAAGTTACAGTGAAGAACACAAAGGGTTAAACGAGTCTGAGGATCAATAGATTGATTTTCTCACCTTGAGCAGGACGAAGAACTCAAAGACTCTCCTGAAGGACGGTGGGAACAGGCGGGCGTATGTGACGGCCATCTTGAAGAAGAGGGCGTGGAAGAGGCGGTCTCGGACGTTGATGAGGGGGTTCTGGTTGATGTTGGGGTTTCGGATCCTGTTGGGTCCCATGTTGTTGTTGTTGTTGTTCAGGGGGACGTTGTTGTTGTTGGCCTGGTTCTCAGACATGGTCTCTGGATTATTCACACTGCACAGACAGCTGGTTCTAGGTCAGCATGGCGGCTGCGGGGCTCCTCAGAGAAGGTAAAGCTCTGACCCGGGGTCAGATTAAGGTCTGCAGAGTCTGATTCACAGCGAGCTGACCGACCAACTTCTTCGGCTGAAACTGTGGGAGAGAATGAACCAATGAAAACTCTCAGTATTGATCAAGTAGCGACTCCAAGCTAGAAGGGAGACCTTCCGTCGATCAGAGTCCCTTAAGGGTCCCGGCCTTTTATTATTATTACTGTCTCTCTGTTTGAGGCTGCGTCATTTTGACAGACAGGGTCGTAAAAACTATTTAGTTTCCGTGTTCTAATGATGATGAGATGAAGAAGAACAGCCAATTCAATCGATCACACGAACATTTAATCTCCAGATTTAGTTTATGCCACAGCACATGTCCATCTGTAGTCCCCGCGCAGGAAGACGAACCAAACAAACAAATCAATTATAACCCGGACAGTTGACGCGAGATAAAACACCACCGCACATAATCTAGATTAAATACTCAGTCCCAATCTAAGGTTTACATTAAAGATCACACGACTGGTTTGGTTTCAGACACTTTTCAGTTTCCACATGACGAGCTGGCCGACCGCTCGTGTGCAGGATGACTTCAGGTTTCGATATTTGTGCTTCACTCGTTTCTTGTTGAGAAGCTGTTTTTATAAAAATTCTATAAGTCTAACCTTTTGTGAAAATACCGCTAACTAGTGCTGTAGTACTCGAGACCGGTCTTAAGACCACATATTGTTGGTCTTGGTCTCGTCTTGGACTCGACCGCATTTGTGCTCTGTCTCGTCTCGGTCTCGGATACTGAGGACTCTGGATTTTATTTCAAGACTAGTCAAGACCATAACTTTGGGAATATCAAGTCTCGGTCTTGACTTGGGTCTCGGTTTGGGTGGTCTTGACTACAACACTACCGCTAACGCAACAAATATTACATATCTTTTTATTTTGGGGGGTTCGTGTTCTTGAGGTGCTGTGTGATTACGGCCGTGGCTCAGGAGACAGAGCGGGCTGGCCGTTAATCGGAAGGTCGGCGGTTCCTCCAGGCTGCGTGTCGAAGTGTCCTTGGGCAAGATACTGAACCCCGAATTGCCCCTGGTGGCCGTTCCGCCAGTGAATGAATGTGCAGATGTAGCATCAAAGCGCTCTGAGTGGTCGAAAAGACTAGAAAGGCGCTATAGGGAGCATTTACGTTACTTACAGAGTCACTGCAAAGACGCGGAGAAACGTGATTTCCTGTCGGGAAAGGCATTCGCTTGAGTTGAAAATGTTCAATTCGTGCAAGAAAGACGCAGGACGCTGTGACGCCTATCAGCGACGTCACTGACTGCTTCAGAGCGTTGTTTGGTGAGATTCTGAATCTCTGCTTGCTGACAAACAGCTGCTGAGAGCCGGGGCGGCGCCGGTAGGGATGGGTACCGACCGAAACAGCCCGGTATCAAGTAGAACCAGAACTTCACTCAATACTTTTTCTAACCAGATCGCATTGCTTGCAGCCAAATAGCAAACAAAACACCTAAAGAAAGAGAAGAGCAGCCTTTTTGTTCCTGGTGCGTCTGCATCATAAACTGCACGCGCTCAGTCCGCGCTGACTTTAACAGACGTGTGCGTCACTGTTGCGGTTTTATCAGCACAAGCTCGGCTTTCCGTTGGTTTCATCTTGTGGCATCATTGAACACTTCTCCCTACATTTTTATTTGCTGTTCACGTGTCACCGATCGATCGCTGCGTTCCGTCACATCAGTTAAAACTTTCATGGCGCAACAGCGATCAGCTGATCTTCCCGACGCCTGCACGTCATCCAGAACGACGTGCTGAAGCTGCTGAAGCTGCTGCTGGTTTAGTTTAGAGACTTGTTTAAACAGACCTCTCTGTCTGTTTAAAAGCACTTCTGTTGTTTACTTTCAACACAAGTATCAAAAAAAATAATACCTTGTTTCCCACAACTTATTTGGTCACTAAACTATTTCAGTCCTCCTCTCATTCCAATAAAAAATAACTCCCAAGCTGCAGTCTCTCCCCTGATAGGCCAGTGAGGACGACCTAATCAGGACGAGGAGCCTGTGATACACTTTCCCAACACTCTTTATGTAGCAGTAATTTGAAACAGACCGGATCACCTCACGTGTCCATTACAACAATAAAAATAATACTAAGCTACTAATCAGGTGACCTTTTATGCAAAGTATTGAACGAAGTACTCTGTTGGTATCGGTATCACTTTAAGGGTACAGGGTTTGGTACTGCTGACGTGAGGTTTTAAACGATCGGATTCTGTTCTGATAAATGTTTTCTGACAGGAGGAGCTCAGAGTGAACTTCTTCTATTAAATTAACTTTAGGGATTAAAACGTCTTCAGGGCGCTCTGAGGGCCACAACAGGAGGCTGCTGGGAGAAAAGAGGAAGCTGAACTACCTGCTTGGTTCCAGCTGTAGTTAAACTTTACTATGAACACATTAGCATAGGGCTGATTTAAAGTCCTCTGCTGACAGACTTCATGACGTCGTGTGTCAACACTCAGTTTATAGCAGTGATCAAACTCTGGCGAGGAAAGCGACGCATGTTGGGCCCGCCAAGTCCTGGAGGGACTGAAATCTAGTTCTCCTGTAGAGAATAAAGAACCCTGCTCTCTTTTAAGCAGCAGCCAGTTTCATTCATTAATAAAACACGTTCCTGCGTTAGGATCATACAGGACCTGTTCTGATATCAGCATTACGTCCTGCTCTCTAAATATCGGTCGACGCTGAAGGCCACGAATCAGTTTCCAGGTTCTCTAAATATCTGCCTGTCCCAACCTGACAGCTGTGAATCAGGGCGTCTCGAGCTGAGGACAGGAGACAGACACACATCTGATGAGGTTCTATCAGCTGTCTGAAGCATCTGACGGTCCTTCCGTCTGTGTGCGTCAGTAAATACCTGTGCAGTACATCTAGCAGTACCGGAGCGTGTACTTGTACCAGCAGGAGAGTACAGGCTGCTTGTCCTACCTGTGATGGGGCCCGTCGTCTCTCTGCTTCAGCAGGTAGCATCCTCCAGCTAACACTTCATCTCTGAGCTACAGCTAACGCTTACCTGGTTATTGCCTCCGCATGCTGACGTCTTCTTCTCTGTCTTTTCACCGGAACAAACAAGCAGCAGCTAGCTGCTTAGCACTGTTAGCGCGCTAGCGGTGCGCTGGTAGATAGCGCGACGGGAAGCTAATGGCAGCTAAAGCTAGTTGCAGACGGCGTTAGCTTCCAGCTAGCCGGCCCGGGACTCTGCGAGGCGCCATTTCACTGTGATCCGACAGAACCGGAGATAAAAGAGTCCGCGGGTTCTTCAGGAGGTTCCACACGAACTCTGAGCTTCAGTTCGGCTAACGGGAGCTAACGGGAGACTGACGGAACCACGACCACAGCGGAAATACGGGTCCTTTAGAACCGGTCGACTTCTCCCCGAGTTCTGTCTGCCAGGTGCAGCTGACCCGCCCTCCGCGAGACTGACTCTGGTGACTGCAGGCCCCAGTTTGTCCCAGTACCCCCTCCCTCCCTGCAGCTTTATTAATGTACAAAATCAAAACACAGTGAGATTCACAGGTGTCGTTTACACCGGGGACGCCTCATTTTGTCACTTTTTAAAAGCATTTGTTAAAAATGTTCTGAGCTTGGAACATTAAATATTAACTAACAAGTGAAAATGCTTTGAGAAAAGTTTATTTGCGCAAGAAGAAAACATGCAAAGCCATTTAAATATAGAAGAAACAAATCTGCATCACCCCTCCAAGAAAACAAGCTGCTGATTACTGCATTTTATTTGTGTGTTGAATCACCTGAACTTGGTGTTTCCCTTCATGTAAATACAACATTTCCACCAGAAACTGGTGCAATGAATTTCTCAAGATTGCATGAAATCAAGTGTTTAATGCTCCAAATCGTCAGTGGGGACCTCCAGAGCCCCAACTTGCACATTTCTGCGTTAAATATTCTTTTTAAATAGTGTTAAAATATCTTCTCATCTTCTTCTTGTGAACCCAGTATTGTGTATCGTCACACCGCTAATCTGAGCCCTCATATTCCCATAACTTTTCATTGTCCAAAAAAAGGAACTTAAGCTAAAAAAAAGAAGTAACTGATTATAAAATGACCCACAAAGGTGCAGCACCGATCAGTAACTTTAACAACTTGTTGACACAGTTTCTTTTTCCGTTCTCTCCCTGTGAACATGACAAAAGAGGAGAAAAGTCATGACTCAGCAGGGATGATATTACAGGAGAAAAAGATCTGAATGCAGCACAGAATGCCTGAGAGCTGCACTGACTTAGATTCTGGTAGAAGTTTACAGTTTTAATTTGTGTTTCCCTTTACACAGGCTAAATAAACATTTTAACCATAAATTGGTGCCCCACTCCTATATTTCTGCATTGGAGATTCCTTTAAATGGTGATAGAATATCTTCTCATGAAGAAACCAATATCGTGGATCACCCCACCACTTAATTGGAGCCCTGTCCCCACCACTGTTCAGCACAAGGACGCTTTATAAATACAATTTAGTTAAATTTAATCCTCCTGGGTTGTGATTCCTGACAGCACAAGACTGAATTATGGTTCACAGATGCACCAACATAGGTTTAATATTTATTCTGATGCACCTGCAAGACCAGACTCAGGGGAAACCGATCACACGCACACTGCAGAGGAGGCTGCCCACCGGCGCCATGTCAGTTACGGAGCCGATACAAAGACTGTACATGTTATTAAAGCACGTTACAGAGATAAATATTATTTTATAATAATAAATAAAAGCGTTACACACGAAGTCAAACACAGAGTCGCAGTTTGATCACAGTTTCCTTAATTGTTTTACAGACAGGCACAAGTAGAGACAGCTCTGTGACCTGAGGGGTCCTGAAGCAACGTTGAACTGAAAGGTTTGTTTGTTGCAGCAGCTAACGGCTAACGGCTAACATCCACCGATGTACGTAATATTTTGTTCTACAGCAGAAACTGACCCTACTTATTTATTTTATATTTTTCATTTTAAACCTTAAAGTTCATCATTTATCAGGGAAATTGACGTATTTTATTTGTTTCTGCTTTACTGGAGCTTAAATCATAGTAAGTTAAGCTAATGTTAGCGGCTAACTGACAATTTCTTCTATGTTCGTCTGTGTTTATTACTTCTTACCTACAAACAAACTACTTCTAACTATCATCCATTAACTGAGCGGCGTTCTGAACAGAGTCTTGTTTAATTCGGCAGATATTTTATGCACAGAGCTGCTGGTTTTACAGGAAAGTCTCGGTGTTTAGGTTGAATCTACAGCCGGACTCACACCAACTGTAGGAAAGAAATCTCCTTAAATTCAGAGTTTTTTAAAGGGAGTTCGCAGCGGAGGGTCGAACAGATGCTGAACAGGAGAGTAGCAATAGTGGAAGAAATATTCACGTCCTTCACTTCAGTACTACGTTTCAAGCAAGTAGTATATAAAAGTACGAAAGTATTATCAGCAAAATGTACTCATAGTGTCTATAAAGTATTTTAAAGCTTTATTATCACTCATGCATTCATGTGTAAGCAGCGTTTCATCACACTTTCAAAGTCAGTTCTGGCTTTAATGTAGATTTTCAGATTTATTTTAAAACATGTGAAAAAGTTTAAATAATTAAACTTCAATTTAAATCAGCTTGTTTAAAATAGAAGTGAATGAAATGAGACAGAATCCATCAGGTCAGTTTATAAAAACCTCAGAGAAAGAGTTTAATAATCTCTGCCGCAGCCGCAGAAACATTGTGACATGCAGTTTTAATGTTTATTCATGTGTCGTTAATATCAAACAGGAAGCAGAACTCCGTAACAACGTTGAATGATGAAACTGAGACGATGGTCATTAATTAAAATCCATCAGTGATGGAGCCTGAGAGAGAAAACACGTTGAATGTTGTTTTTACGATGCGAGTCTGTGGCCTCCTTCACCTGTGTCTGTGTGTTTCCAGGTGAGGCGTCCTCCTGGCCTCCTTCTTCTGTGGTGAAATCATGGAGCTGGCGTACGTGTGTGAGTGGGAGAAACGTCCAAAGAGTACTCACTGTCCCTCCATCCCTCTGGTCTGCTCCTGGTCCTGCAGGAACCTGGTGGCGTTCACCACAGACCTGAAGAATGAGGACGACGACAAAGGTAAGCACAGACACGCCCCCAACAAACACACCTGCAGCACAGACACGCCCCCAACAAACACACCTGCAGCACAGACACGCCCCCAACAAACACACCTGCAGCACAGACACGCCCCCAACAAACACACCTGCAGCACAGACACGCCCCCAACAAACACACCTGCAGCACAGACACGCCCCCAGACAAACATCTGCAGCACAGACACGCCCCCAGACAAACATCTGCAGCACAGACACGCCCCCAGACAAACACACCTGCAGCACAGACCCACGCCCCCAGACAAACATCTGCAGCACAGACACGCCCCCAGACAAACATCTGCAGCACAGACACGCCCCAGACAAACATCTGCAGCAAGACAAGCCCCCCAGACAAACATCTGCAGCACAGACACGCCCCCAGACAAACACCTGCAGCACAGACACGCCCCCAGACAAACACACTGCAGCACCGACACGCTCCCTGACAACATCTGCAGCACAGACATGCCCAGACAAACATCTGCAGCACAGACGCCCCCTGACAAACACCTGCAGCACAGACACGCCCCCAACAAACACACCTGCAGCACCGACACGCCCCCAGACAAACATCTGCAGCACAGACACGCCCCCAGACAAACATCTGCAGCACAGACACGCCCCCAGACAAACACACCTGCAGCACAGACACGCCCCCCACAAACACACCTGCAGCACAGACACGCCCCCTGACAAACACACCTGCAGCACAGACACGCCCCCTGACAAACATCTGCAGCACAGACACGCCCCCAGACAAACACACTGCGCACAGACACGCCCCCAACAAAACACCTGCAGCACAGACACGCCCCCTGACAAACACCTGCAGTACAGACACGCCCCCAACAAACACACCTGCAGCAGACACGCTCCCTGACAGACACACACCTGCAGCACAGACACGCCCCCTGACGACACACACACTGCAGCACAGACACGCTCCCTGACAGACACACACACCTGCAGCACAGACACGCTCCCTGACAGACACACACACCTGCAGCACAGACACGCCCCCTGACGAACCACACCTGCAGCACAGACAGCTCCTGACAAACACACACACTGCAGCACAGACACGCTCCCTGACAAACACACACACTGCAGCACAGACACGCTCCCTGACAAACACACACACCTGCAGCACAGACACGCTCCTGACAAACACACACACCTGCAGCACAGACCACCCCTGACAAACACACACATGCAGCACAGACACGCTCCTGACAAACACACACACCTGCAGCACAGAACGCTCCTGACAAACACACACACCTGCAGCACACGCCCCTGACAAACCACAACACCTGCAGCACAGACACGCCCCTGACAGACAACACACCTGCAGCACAACACGCTCCCTGACAAACACACACCTGCAGCACAGACACGCTCCCTGACAGACACACACCGCAGCAGACACGCTCCCTGACAAACATCTGCAGCCAGACCGCCCAGACAAACACGCCCCCAGACAAACATCTGCAGCACAGACACGCTCCCTGACAGACAAACATCTGCAGCACAGACACGCCCCCAGACAAACACGCCCCAGACAAACATCTGCAGCACAGACACGC